AACGAAGTGAATAGAACTGGGGGACAGGGTGCCCCAGGATGCTGCCTTATATACATGAGGGAAAACCCCCCAGGGACCGGTAATGGACCCCTGGTACCTAGCTGGGTAAGGATTACTAAGTATCATGTGCCCTATGGTGCGATATGGTGTTATTGATGATGTCATAGTCTGGCCCTGCCCTGCCCTGGGCCTAGGGTCCAGAATTGACCGGCCTATGGCCTAGTGCCTGAGCCTAGCTCCTACCTATGATGTCAGAATGATGTCATGGTCCAGACAGAGTCTGGTTTCTATCTAGAAAAGGTCTGGCATCAGAGTCCAGCCTGATGTGTCCAGAACAAGATCATGTGTCGCTTATTTAAGCGGATAACCCCTTAGATATGCAGATGTACCCATATGCGGACGGATAAGTATGGATAAGTCCCTAGACCCTTCAATATGTCCGCAGAAATAGCGGAAAAAGTAGGTAAGATTAGGGAAACTGTGACAGTACCCCCGCCTCTAGCTTCGAGCTCCGTTGAGAAGTTTCGACCATTTGACCAGTGAAGTGCCTTCATGCTTTGGTAATCTCGAGATCACAATCGGCTATACACTCAATAATGAGCTGAGCAATGGGGTCGCCTTTGGCGATCTTCAGCTCGGACGGTCCAGTGCTGGTAACAACAACCTTGACTTCGGCTGGGTCACCCCGCTCGATAATGCCTTCGATTGCTCGGATTCCTTTGGCTAATGGATTCCCTACTGGGGTGATTCTCCCGTAGGTGCCAACTGGTAGTTGTATCCGGATTCCTGTTGGAATCTGCAGTGTTGCGTTACTGGCGACTTCCTGGTTTTGACTTGCATACAGTTCAAAGCCTGCTGCTGTATCGGTCTTTCTCTTGGGTTCCTAGCCTCCTCGTAACTCAACTCGAAGTGTTGCATCCCTTTTCAGGAGAGCAAACACCTTGTCATCATTATCATTAAGTGCCCTGATCGCATGCGGGTGCGCATTGTGATATTCCTTGATGAGTTCCTTCGAGCCTTTGAGGTTCGCTACTGGTTCCCATGTATCCTCGTCGGGAGTGGTATTCTTCCATCGTACGAGGTACTGAAGCTTGCGGTAGTGCCGGCGAGAGGATAAGATCTTCTCCACTTCCCATTCTTCATGACCATCAACAATAACCGGCTTTGCAGCTGGTCCTTTCTGGCCTGGGATTTCCGCCTCGTGGTAGGGTATAAGCTTACTGGCATGGAAGACCAGATGTAATTTGGTCAACCTCGGTGGCCATTTCAGTCTGAAGGTGACTGGAGAGAGTTTTTCAACAATCTCAAAAGGCCCCGAATACCGTGCGTTGAGCTTGCGACCAGTGGTTTGATAGTCTCTGAGGTCGAGTAAGACCTTGTCGCCCACCTTGAAGGGGACTTTCTGGACTCCTTGGTCGTAATACCACTTCATACGCTCGGCTGCCAGTTTGAGAGCGGCTTTTGCCTGCTCCTGTGCTTGTTGTCGGTTCCAAACAATGTCATTGAGGTCGCTTCTTTGTACCTCCTTCGTAAGTGTTGGACCTGCCCATGGATGTCTGCCGCATTCCAAGAAGAATGGTGTCTCCTTGGTGCCCTCATGCACTGCATTGTTGTAGGCGAACTCAGCAGAGCTAAGTAGCCTTGACCAGTTGTCGAGTTGATAGTCGATGTAGCAGCGAAGATATTGCTCCAGAACTTGGTTGACTCTTTCAGTCTGACAATCAGTCTGTGGGTGGTACGTGGTAGACATGGTGGATTCTATCCCTAGTAGCTTACACCATTCCTGGAACAGTGTAGCCGCAAACTGAACACCTCAGTCGGATATAATCTGGGATGGTAAACCGTGAAGCGGATACACCCGATTATATAGCAATTCTGCTAGATCTTTTGCCGAGAACTCGTTTGTTATTGGGTAGAAGTGAGCCCGCTTTGTCAATTGATCCACAACTACACAAATGGCATCATAACCATCTGATTCTGGGAGCTGAGTGATGAGGTTGACGGTCATAACTTCCCATGGCCCTTCCGGGACACGGTTGGGTTGCAATGGTCCATACGGCTGCTGCGGACAGTTCTTCATCCGTTGACAAATGTCGCAGCCGGTCACATACTTCTTGACAAATACCAACATGCTAGGCCACCAATAGTTGCGTGAGATGAGTTCATATGTCTTCCACCTTCTGGGATGTCCGGCTGAAGGGAGATCATGATGCATTTGAACTATTCGCCTGCGCAAGTGGTCCTGCTCGCTGTTGGGGATATATACTTTGCCGCGATAAAGCAACAATCCATTCTCATAGTTCCAGTCCACAAGGGACTTGCCGAATTCTCTAGGACCTGACTTCAGCAATTGCTGATAGTTCTTGGTCACATCGTCATGTAGGAGTGCTTCCTTCACTTCCCTCAGGAGTTGATCGTCATTAACAGGCGACTCATGGGAGGCCTCGACTGCATTGATTGCAAAAAACTCCGGTTTCAACAAAGTTTGATCCCGATTATCAAGGTTCACCCCCTCCTCATGGTCTGGCCTCCTGGACAGAGGGTTGGCGGTAAGCATTGTTTTTCCTGGCTTATGGCACAAAATAAAATTGAATCGCGTGAGGTACAGAGCCCATCTCGCTTGTCTCCTGGTCAACTTCTGGGCGGTTTTGAAGTAAGTCAGATTAAGATGATCCGACCAGATCTCGAATTTGTCCGGATGTCCCTCCAAATAATGCCTATACTCTTCGAGTGCTCGAATGATAGCAAGCATCTCTTTGTCATATATCTCGTAGTTCCGCTGATGAACATCGAGTGACTTCGAGTAAAAGGCAACTGGGTGCCACAACTTGTCAGTTGGGTCCAATTGGGAGAGAACTGCGCCGGTTGCAAAGTCGCTGGTGTCAGTCTCAAGTCTGAATGGGGACGTCGTATCCGGGATTCGAGGAATGGGCGCTGAGGTGAAGGTCTCTTTCAGACCATTGAATGCCTCTTCCTGCGCCACATCCCACACCCATGGTTGATCCTTCTTGGTCAACATAGTGAGCGGTTTGGCGTACTTGGCAAAGTCCTTGATGAATCTTCGATAGAAGTTCGCAAAGCCTAAGAAAGCTTGGACTTGTTTGACCTTAGTAGGCCGTGGCCACTCGGCTACTCCTGAAAGTTTCTTCGGGTCCATCTCGATATGTCCTTTGGAGATAATCATGCCGAGGTACTCAATGCTGCTTTTTTCAAAGGAGCATTTTTCCGGTTTAGCAAATAGATCATTCTCCCTCGGCCGCTTCAGAACTTCCTTTGTAAGCTTACAATGTTCCTTGAGATCATTTGAACAGATGAGAATGTCATCAAGGTAGACTATGACTTTTCCTCCTCGTATGAAATCACCGAGTACGTCATTCATCATCGCTTGGAAAGTTCCTGGTGCGTTGCAGAATCCGAAGTACATGACTGTGGCTTCATATAGCCCTCAATGTGTGATGAAAGCCGTTTTCCATTCGTCACCCTTCCGGATGCGAACATTATTGTATCCCCATCGCAGATCGATCTTAGTGAACATCGATGCTTGACTGAGTGTATCAATCAAGTCTGCTATGCGGGGTATTGGATAACGGTTCTTCACAGTCACGTCATTGATCTTCCGGTAATCCACAACTAAACGAAGCCCTCCATCATGTTTCTTGACAAAGAAAACAGGAGAGGCTAGCGGGCTTTTGGACTTTCGAATGTACCCCTTTCGGAGTTCGTCGTCGATCCACTCGTCGAGAGAATTCCTCTCTTTCGGAGACATTGGGTATAGTTTGGCCGGCCGAGGTAGGGCAGCTCCTTCCTCGAAGTCAATACCGTGATCATATGGTTTGCGCTCCGGCATCCGCTCCAATTTCTTTTGTGAGAATACGTCCCCGAACTCGTGTAGATATTCAGGGATGAGAGACTTCCACTTAATGGTGTCCGCATCCTCCTCCTCAACATCTTTGTTCAGAATGCTTGCGACAAATTCTGCCATTTGTAGGTCCTCCGGATCATCTGTCGAGATCCAGTTGATGTATGGATTTTCAGTACACTCCTCTCCTAAGGCGTCCAGCGGAGTGACTAAGGGTTCCTCCCTTGGTAACTGAAGCTTGTCGGTTTCTTCATCAGTCACACAATTAGTTTTACGAGCTTTGGGGGCACAGCTCTCAGGGCACCTGGTGTACCTCCACTCCCCTTTGGCCCAGTCGATCTCGGGATTGTGTTTCCTGAGATAGGTCATGCCGAGGATCATGTCCTTACTCCCCAAATCTGCAACTAGCAGTGGGTGTGTCGACTTATGTGATCCTATTTCGACGTAGGCTCTAACGGACTTGTTTATTTGACCGCTTTTATTGGAGGTCCCGTCTGCGTTATAAACATTGTACGGGGTTGCCAGCTTATGCGTCACCAGGCTGTTACTTTCAACAACTGACCGATTGATGAACGATGTTGTGGCCCCTGAGTCTACCAAAGCTTCGACCTGCACTTTCTTTCCGTATACCCACAGTGTCACAGGCAGAGTGAATGAATTCTTGTTGCGAGAGATATTTACAAGACTGCCGTGTACACTATCTACATTGATTCTGACGGTGGGTTCTGATTCCTTAAGTACATGTTCGCAGGTAGTCACATGTACTTCTTCCAAAAATCCGAGGTAGCTGCGATGGGTTCTGTCTTTGCAGACAGCTGGGGTTCATCCTTCCCAGCCAGAGTCGATTCCTCAACATTCGCAATCTCCTCGATTCTCGCAGTGTTGGCGCTCACAGCTTTCGTGGACGGGGGTGTGTCGTCCTCGCTATCCGTAAGCTCGACTTGAATAACCCGCGTTTTCTTAGCCTTCTTGGCCGCGGGGTTACCGCTTCCTCCTTGCGCCTTCCTAGCGCCATCCCCTTGGGTATTTGGCCGCTTGTCCGCATTTTTGGCCAACTTGTAGCAATCATCCGTCTTATGAGTTTTTGACTTGCAGATGATGCAATACTTCTTTGCCTCTGTCGAGGCGGCCTCAGCGTCCTTTGCCTTGCCTTTGCCTTTACCCTTCGATTTCGACTTTTCAGCCGAATCGATGTCCATGGGGACAGCACTGCCGTTATCCGAGCCACTGTTCTTGAATACCGAACCTCGTGCCTTCTCCGGGTTCACAATCTTGTTGATGTTGAGCAAGATGTCGAGGAACAATGTCCAATCCTTTGGCAAGGTGGACTCGTCCTTTCCGGCCAACACCAACCGCATGTCACGAGGTATAACCTCCCGGAGTTTGTCGATGAGGAGACTATCGTCATACTCCGTGAGACGTCCGAGGGTGCGGAACCTCTCAGCGTACTTCACGAAGTCCTTCGAGGCCAGATCCTTATTGATGAACAGTGCCGTGATCTCCTTCTTTGCACCCTCCTTGTCGTCGCGTTGCCCGTATATCTGGGCAAGCTCTGCCACGAATGCCTTCCAGGTGCCCAGATCCTTTCCTTCCCGCATTTTCACGTAGTAGCTCTTCATGTACTGATGAGCTGGTCCTTGCAGCTTCAAAAGGGCCGTGACGATTCACTGTTTGTCAGTGGCCACTCCCTCATACTCGCACCACAGTACGATCAGGTCCAGCCATTCCTCAAGCTTGGTCTTATCCTCACTGCCCTTGAAGGCCGGAGGTTCCCCAATCTTAGGTTGACGGGAATGACCACTACCCGTTGACGCAGGTAGTGCATCAACTTGTCGCTTGTAGGAATCGACTAGTGCCTGCTGGTTCTGGACCGTGATGTGCAGGGATTCAACCTCTCGAAGGAGGCTCTGAAGGTATCCGTCATAGTGCCTGCTTATTTCTAAGGTCAGGCGACCAACCCAGTCTCTGACTCGTCCAGTGGTCGATTCTGCGGCATTCGCAGTAACCGTTTGCAGCAGAGCTGCTTGTTTGTCAGAGACATTCACGTTCTGGAAGATTGCATTGTGCCACTCTTCTTCTGTGGCGATAGCGAATGCTTCGGTCGGAACGAAGGGGATGTATGGGGCCATTTCTTATTGTAGTGATTAGCCCGTATTCACTTATGATTGAAAGAAAAAAGTGAAGCGAAGGAGATCTCCTCCTCATGCCATATAAGCCAATTATGCCAGAAAAGATTGCCAATCTTTATTCCACTATCTACACTTCATACTTGAAGGTGATGTTTAGGCTAGCCAACTCATTACAAATCTCCGGCAGGCGACTGCTTAAGTCTTCAAAGGAGACATGCCCGATCCTTTTCAGGTCGCGCTTGATAACTCTCCAGTGCCTGTTGGTAAGCCGGCGTGCCTTCTTCTCCAGCCCATGATACAACTCGTCGAACCCATCACCCATCCTCCCTGGCTCCAAGCTCCCTTCTTCCTTTTCCATCCGAGCGAACACCGGCTCCAGCCTGTCGGCTGTAGCGGCAAACATCTCATTGTACTCGGATGTGCGCAACAGAATCTTTGTGCGCTGGAAGTGAATGTCGGGGAGCGGCTTGGGTGGTTCATATTCATAGGAGGGTCCCGCCTGCATATCGATGCGGTCGATGAGGGGGGGAGCGGGGTCGGAGATACGATCGAGCAACTGTTGCTTCTTGAAGAGATGCGCACAAAGTGCAAGCTCCTCGATGTCATGTTTCGCTTTTTCAGCGCGTTC